GGCTGCTGACCTAGTGCTCTCCGAAGAATACAATTTTCGGTAGGCGATGGTCCGACATTCACACATGTCCAATCCTATGTATAAGCGTTGGCGGATGATGACTTCGATGCTGACCATTTCTGTACGCTGAAGAATTTCAGTGTGGGGGATTTCATCTCTCCACGCAACGTAAAGATCCGCTGAATGCAACAGATGTAGAATGTTTCAAGCAGTTTTATTCATCGGCGATACAGGGTACAGCATTCACAGCCGTAGTTGAAACAACAACAGTTCGATTGGCAGTGACTTTGGTGGTGAGTCTGGGGTTGCTATTAGAGAAGACCCGTAGGTGGAGAAGTCGGAAGGAAGGAGGCCGAGCTGCTGGATCACGTCGTTTAAAAGCTGTTCGAATGACCTCTGTTTTGTTTGCTCTCAGCGAAACAAGTTTCCCCGATGAAGGTTCTCTAAACTGAGAAGGGCGACGGGTACACATTCTTCTGGAAAGGTCTTCCCTCCAGGGAAAGTCGAGTCCACAGTGTTGGGTTTCGCTGTTCGCTCAACGCTTCTAAGGAACCTCCTATGTGTTCCGACTGGGCAAAGCGAAAGTCTAATGGCCCTCAGAATTTCTCTTTCCAATAGAGTCTACGCGACCATTTTCACTATGTATGCCCCGACCCTGGATGTCTTCGAAGAGATAAAAGATGCCTTCTACGAATCTCTCGAGAAATCCCTTCGAGCGTTACCTCTGGAAAAATCATCCTACTTGGAAATTTTAATGCCTAGGTGCGTTCCAACACGTCAGTCTAGGCGGGAGTCATTGGTTCGCAGGGTATTGGGGAAATGAATGCTAACGGACTCCGTCTTCTAAGCCTTTCTGCCGAGCATCAGCTTGTGATTACCAATACTATTTTTCAACACTCTATAAATAAAAGTGTTCTTGGATGCATCCATGCACTCGGACGTGTCACCTGTTGGATGACGTAATCACCCCCCAACGCGATCGGAAAGATGTCCTTCAAAATCGCGCCATGGTGAAGCGGACTGCTGGACTGATCACCGTATGATTCGCTCTCGTATGAATGTCTCGCTTCGGTCTCAGGCCCGCAAAACCAAAGCCACCCCTACACTCAACGTTACCTGTCTTGCACGAGCATCAAAACGAATCGAACTTCATGCAAATTTGCTCAATGTCTGTCAATCTCAACACCTCCCACCGATATTCTTGATCAGCAAAATTCGACAGTCTATGGGACTCCGCCATCCTAGCTATTCCGCAAGTCGCTGAAACTATGCTTAGAAAAACTCAGCGAATGACCCAGATCGGTTCGATAAATCTGTGTAAGTTATCCAGCCACTTCTGAAGGCAAAGAATCAAGGAAACGGCTCTCATCCTGCACAAACTACCCAATGGGGTAAAAACTGACTGGTTACATTCAATGACTCGAAGACCAAACTAGTTACATTCCATCTTCGCCGGTCTGACCCCAAACTACCACCAAACAGGATAAACGGATATCCTCGCGGAGAAGCAAAGTGCCTTGAAAGACTGTGGGCCCTAAAATTTACACTCAGTTTGAAGTAGAACTCGTACATATGATCCATTGCTAAAGATGCAGGTAAAATGACCGTCGCTCTGTACCACACCAGTAAGTACCTGACTCCTCCTGATATCCTCTACATTTACAAGAGAGAGAGCAGGTAAAAAATGGAGTACTGCTGTCATATCTGGGCACGAATTATTCTGGGACGAATTATTTTCCACCCTTCAATCTTTCTCGCACAGGCGTAGTGTGGCAAGCTGCTCTCTGCCTTACCGCTACTTCCACGGGCGAAATACATTCCCTGGTCCCGCCAACTTAAGCCTTCTCGGCAATATCAAGCCATACCACTTACATAGCAGCAAACCACCTACATTACCTCAGTATTCCATCGTTGAGAAGTAGGTCCCTTGCGTAGCTTCTTCCTGCGAACCAATGCCCCGTGGAATCGACTCCCAAAAGGAAGTGTACCCCCGATCATTAAAATCTTAACCTGTTCAAGGCTAGGGTTAACAGTTATCTTCCACTGTTATACGCATTAATATCCTCCCAACGTAACTCTCTACCTCGAGTGGACCTCAGGCTTTGTAAAGGGTGAACCTTACTGTCAAAAAGAGGAAAGAACAGTAATCTTTTTGGTGTTTTACCTTACTCTGAAAATGAAAAAATTTCAGTACTCTTTATTAGTTTCTAATAAAATATTCCTTTTTCTTAATATGTCGAGTTTTTGGAAGATATCTTACGCTATTCCAATGCACCTTTGGTTTTCCGTGTCGCATATTCACACTTCCTCGTCAGTTAATATTTTGCACTTGCTTAATTTGGTGTCTTCAATTTGGGGTTGGAATTTTTAGTTCTCCCTTTTGCTAACAACCATGAATTCTGACTTCTTACGATAGTCATTTAGTCCTTTCTTCTGGCTTTCCTTTTTTCTACCTTCTCTATTAGTTAGTGTAGTTCCCGTTCTGTGTCTGCCTTCAACAATACTGCAAATCTAATGTTCTTAAGATCGTGGCCGCCAAGAATGCCCGATAATTTGAAGACTTTTATATCAGCGTATGAATCGACAATTTTTATTTATTAGAAATGTCCTAATCCAATAATTCACCCAGCAGATATTATTCATGTCATTTTTTATGAACAGATATTGAGATGAGTGTTTCTGACTGGCGTTTTCATTGATGTATATTGACTACCTATGCCTCTCAATTGATTTATCATCCAATATAGTATTAGTTAAATATTTACACAGAAACACTAAGGTGCGCACGTGTAAGCACAAATGCACACACACACACACACACACACACACACACATATATATATATATATATATATATATATATATATATATAAAACTTCATGGTTTTAATGGCCAACAAACCCAGCGGGTCTTATATATATATATATATATATATATATATATATATATATATGACATTCGTATTTCCATTTCCGTCCTGGGCATAACAATAAACTACATCCGCCTCCTGGGTAAGACGATAAACTACGTCCAGCAGTAAGGCTTCTGATCAGGAGTCTTTGAGGAGCGTGAAACCATCTCTTAATTGCTAGTGTACCCAGGTCCACTGACTCGGGATGGCAGGACCTTTTAGGGCCCCAGCTATTGGTCAATAGTTGACCCCGGAACCCTGGGGTAAAACACTATGAAAATCTAAAAATATGTTTTAATACCAGAAATACTTTGTAAAAAATTATTACCAGCAATAAATTTTTGAAGGAAAAACTATTACCATCAATACATTTAAAAAAAAAAAAAATTACTAACGATAGGTTTTTGAAAAAAAATACATTTTTGAAGAAAAAAATTTTACTAGCTATACTTTTTTGAAAAAAAAAATATTACCAGCAATACATTTTTGAAGGAAAAAAATATTACAAGCTATACATTTTTGAGCAAAACTTATTACTAGCAATTCTTTTTTGAAAAAAAGAATATTAACAGCAATATATTTTTGAAGGAAAAAAATATTACAAGCTATACATTTTTGAGGAAAAAATATTACTAGCAATACTTTTTTGGAAAAAAAATATTAACAGCAATATATTTTTGAAGGAAAAAATATTACCAGAAATAGATTTTTGACAAAGCAAAATATTATCACACAATAAAAATTTGGTCGGCATTAAATAACCCATTGAGGATGATATGCCGTAAAACAAACTAAACCAGACCAAACCGTATATACATTCGCATAAATAAGAAAAAAACACTTTGTTTCAGTGCGCTGATTTAAGATCATGTCTCATAAGTCAGTTAAATTTTACAAATTCACTTGTATCCAAAAATCCAAACGCATTTTCCTAACACACGGTTTTCATTCTAACCTGGAAATATCGCAGCCAACAAACATTGTTCAATCACATAGTTTAGCTATCTCGGCTTCAGTGGTCAGCCGAGTACCTCTGTTTCACTCTGGTTCTGACTGTAATTATATCTGTAATATATATATATATATATATATATATATATATATATATATATATATATATATATATATATATATATATTTTGCTTTTGTGTGTCTGTGTGAGTGTGTGTGTGTGTTTGTGTGGGGATATAATGGAAATTTACCGTTATTTGCATGGTTAGTTAAAACGTCATAATCGTTATCTAATTTTAGTTGATTCTGATTTGGTAACGCTGATGAAACGTTATGAATCCATCTTCATTCCACTTTTTGGTTAAATAACCAATCAGACTCCGTTCTCTTCTCATGGATGGCATCTAGTGCGGAGGGGTAAAATCTCTAAATTCAGAGGGGGAGATTGTGTGTTTGGTGGTTCATAGCACACTCTGTCGCATTTCTGTGTTGTTCAATTTTCCGAAATGATTGGTCCGTTCTACCCCTGCATACACCAATAAAATCAGCTCATCTATTTTAGCTTATAAGGATAGAATGGGAAGATAACGAAGAACTCTAGACTTGAACAAGTTAAGATAATAGTGATCGGGGAGTCATACTCGTGGGAGTCGGTTTTACGGGGCAGTGGTCCGCGGGAAAAGCTGTTCGAGTGGAACTTCTCGCCAATGGAATATGTCGGAAATGTGGGTGGTTTCTACTGCCGCGTATATTGCCTCTTTCAGTGTATAATACAGTACAAGAAAAACTGGATTATTAAAAGTGCAGTAGTTCCCCATTGAAAAATGAATATAATTCGATAATTCTTCCTTCGCTGATGGATACATATAAAGACAGTTCAATTCTACATTATATACATATATTATTTGAGATTTGACATACGTTTGTAGATGACGTTATTTTGGTGATGAATGATTCTAATTCCTTAATAGAGGCAAAAAATAGAGATGATTGATCGCAAACTAAAGGACCCTTCACATCCGCCCCCACAAAGTAAAATATACTTCACCCTAGTACCAGCAT